AAATAGGGGAATTAGTCGTTGTTCTGTGCATCCGCCGTACGAGCCAAATGAGGCAACTAGACTGAATATTATTGTTCACGGCCAACCCCGACTTGTCATTGTGAGGAATGTCCCATTAATAAAAGGCCGTACGAATGGCAATGAGAGGACTGCTGACTGGAAATGCTCCAGGCTGCCCTGCGCGTGACTCTTTCTGCGGCAATGAAGTCGTTTGGGCCGCTCCAGCCAGGTGAAATAAATTTGTTTTCGCTTTGATATTCATAATTCTCATAGGTTTTGCCCAAATTTGTCCTCCATTGTTTCAAGGCCAAGGATGTCAAGTTGTTATGCCATAGTTGACCTTGCTTCGCCATCTCACACTCTCCCTGACGTGCTCGAGTGAAGGAGTCGGGATGAAAAATATACACCAAATAATCATTAAAGAATACGTGAGACGTGCATTCCAAAGTATAGTACTCCGAGGACTCGTTCCCGCTTCTTGTTCGAGGTGTCGGAGACGGCCCTGCTTCTGACCATTGACCACTGAGCACTAACCTGACCGAAGAGCTCCATGACGATCCTGAATTGATCTCAGAAAGTCTATCGGAATCAATAGCTAGTGTAGAAATTTCACTCGAGTGAAATTGACGAAGAAGCTCTCAAGAGACACGGGAAGACGTCCTTTCGAGCGGCCAAGATCTTATACGATGGAAATTTCCTGCATATTTCACATTCCAATACTTCAACTTTCTATGTGGCTGAATAATTGATTTCAAGCCGGTCTATTATTTTTGGAATGCAGAGTCGATTGACAGCCAAAGTCCCAAGTGCGCATCTCATGTCTCATCTCCCTTTTGAAATCGTTATCAGCCTTCACTTCAAACACTATTTGCAATAGTAGACGTAATTTTGGGGTTTCTAAAACACCCGGTCGTCAGTAACTTTCGTCGAGGACGCTTGGGTGCGGTTCTACGAGCGACGTATGATCGTCTACTGCCTCACCTCATCTCAGCCCAATGGTTCAACTACTTTTCCACGAGTATCTTCTTGAAATGGACATATTGTCACACCGCGTATCATAAATTAGATGAAGTTCCACCTCGCTTGGCTCAAGCTTACGCTATCGTGATCGTCCCTGGACATATTTCCACCTCAA